CACACACACACACACACACTACCTTAGCTAATGACGATACGGCTTCTTTCCACTTCCGCTTGAAACGGTTTGATTCTTGTTTGAGCTGCTGATTTTCAGCTTTCGCTGATGCAAGCATCAAACGAATTTCCTTGTTCAGTGGGCCTAAAACACGAATCGAGAAGTGAAAAATTTTCGACGCTCCGAAACAGAATGCTGAAAATTATCACTATGAATATGCGAAGTTGAGGCAATAGGGCCAAGACGACAATATGCTGCACCAACACGCTATTTGTTCTCAGCCTGTTGGTTTCCAGCCTGTATCCGTCATATTTATAACATAAAAACATCCTTTTTCTGATAGCTCCCTGAATTTTAACCCCATTCACGGATGTGTAACCGGTAAAGTCAACAACTTAACAGCCTGACAACCGCAAAACTTGCATGCTGCATGGAGGGCCTGCCTAGAAGATGCAAGGAAGTGATTAAAGCTATCTTTTGCTCCACAGTCTTCTCCGTCGCTCAGCGTCTGCTCCTTTTCCCTATCCACATTCCGAGCCTACTGCAGCCACTGTTTCGAAGGCCGTGATACAGATGCCGCGAACGGTTCTCCAGTTTATCGCGACCCTAATCGCTGACTTATTAGACTAGCATGTGTCCCGTTTGTAGGTGTGTATGTGTAAAGCATCGCGTCCTATATACATTTTTATCTCTACATAGTAAGTCAAAAGGATAATGCATAAAAAGGAGGTTAGGCTCTGGGGAGCCGAAGCTCCCCAGAATAGGAACATTAGTTATACATAAGTCGCAGTTGGAGATCGGCAGTGGTGATCTCGGTGATGGGGAGGAGTGCTTTTATATCCAAGGGGACAAAGATCGAAAGTTCAATGAGGGTAGGGTGGCTAAAGTTTGAACCGGGGACAGGGGTACTGCGTCAATAGACACTTTCAGACCGAAGCTGTTATTAAAATCTGCTCTAACTGACAGCCCTAAAACATGCTTCTTGCAAAAATTCTACAGCAATTTTACGCCAAGATAATCAGAATTGTCGTTCCCTTGTAAGTTAGTGCCGCCCACCGAATGTTATTTGTTTGCATGTTGTCAATCCCCAAAACATCTAGTTTGCTTTCAAATCACCCACTTTTTGCCCAGCAGGTTCCGCGGCACTCTTCAGATAATTGTGTTACCAGTGGAAATGTAAGCTCAATGTGCTAAACGAGATTGCAGACCTGATTGTTCATTGGCCGAAAGATTCTGTTCGAATTCCAAACGCAACATTTCATACTCTTTACGCACCTGGTATAATTCCTCCTCATGCCTATTCAT